GACGAGGGAACCTTCTCCGGGTCGGGGGAACCTTCTCCTGGTCGGGGGAACCTTCTCCTGGTCGGGGGAACCTTCTCCTGGTCGGGGGAACCTTCTCCTGGTCGGGGGAACCTTCTCCTGGTTCGGGGGAACCTTCTCCTGGTCTGGGAAACCTCCTGGTCGGGGGAACCTGCTCCTGGTCCGAGGAGCCTTCTCCTGGTCGGGGGAACCTTCTCCTGGTCGGGGGAACCTTCTCCTGGTCGGGGGAACCTTCTCCTGGTCGGGGGAACCTTCTCCTGGTCGGGGGAACCTTCTCCTGGTCGGGGGAACCTTCTCCTGGTCGGGGGAACCTTCTCCTGGTCGGGGGAACCTTCTCCTGGTCGGGGGAACCTTCTCCTGGTCGGGGGAACCTTCTCCTGGTCGGGGGAACCTTCTCCTGGTCGGGGGAACCTTCTCCTGGTCGGGGGAACCTTCTCCTGGTCGGGGGAACCTTCTCCTGGTCCGAGGAACCTTCTCCTGGTCCAAGGAACCTTATGCTGGTGGGAGGAACCTTTTCCTGGTTTAGGGAACCTTCTCCTGGCTGGGGGAACCTTCTACTGGTCTGGGGAACCTTCTCCTGGCTGGGGGAACCTTCTCCTGGTCTGGGAAACCTTCTCCTGGTCTGGGAAACCTCCTGGTCGGGGGAACCTTCTCCTTGTCCGAGGAACCTTCTCCTGGTCGGGGGAACCTTCTTCTGGTCCGAGGAACCTTCTCCTGGTCCAAGGAACCTTCTGCTGGTGGGAGGAACCTTCTCCTGGTTTAGGGAACCTTCTCCTGGCTGGGGGAACCTTCTTCTGGTCTGGGGAACCTTCTCTTGGCTGGGGGAACCTTCTCCTGATCTGGGAAACCTTCTCCTGGTCTGGGAAACCTCCTGGTCTGCGAAACCTCCTGGTCGGGGGAACCTTCTTCTGGTCCGAGGAACCTTCTCCTGGTCCAAGGAACCTTCTGCTGGTGGGAGGAACCTTCTCCTGGTTTAGGGAACCTTCTCCTGGCTGGGGGAACCTTCTACTGGTCTGGGGAACCTTCTCCTGGCCGGTGGAACCTTCTCCTGGTCGGGGGAACCTCCCAATCGTGGTAACATTTGAATTCATGGACTGGGTGAATCTCTAGACGCTGTGATTGCTGAGATCTCCTTTATTCATATTCTTTGCCTGGATATAACATCGGTCCAAAGGCTTCAATAATTCTTCAATAGCCTTGGAGCTTCAACAATGTACACCTCGGGGCTATAAATAAACAGACCATAGAGCTTCAACTATGTACACCTCGGGGCTATAAATGAACAGACCTTAGAGCTTCAACTATGGACACCTCGGGGCTATAAATGAACAGACCTTAGAGCTTCAACTATGGACACCTCGGGGCTATAAATGAACAAACCTTAGAGCTTCAACTATGGACACCTCGGGGCTATAAATGAACAGACCTTAGAGCTTCAACTATGGTCACGGGTGCCAATGGTTTGGCCGAAGAATGGGGTGGAACTCACTGGCAGGAAATGGCCTGAAGCGTCCGAAAGCAGAGGTACAAAAGGGATAATCCAAAAGAGAAGTCAAGTCCAATCCGAGTCGAGGCCGGCAGCGAGGGTCCAGGGGCGAAAGGCAGTCCAAAGTTGGCAACAGGGGGTCCAGATAAGGGGTCAGGAAGCAAGTACACAGACAGGGAGCTAGGCGATCACACCATAAGGTGGAATAACTCAGCAACAAGCCGGGGCTCTAGCCAGGATCTTATAGCCAGAGGGTGTAAGTCCGCCCCCCTGTCGCCTAGGCAACCAGGAGGCTTCTCTACCCGAGAGCCAATGGCAGGCGAGAGGTGGTATCTGTGGGCTGGGAACCTCCCCCAGCAAGCCCCACACCTCAGGCCTAAGCGGGCGCAGCCTGTGTACTGCGCATGCACACCTGCTGTGCAACTCGCGCATGCGCACCAGCGACCCGGGCGCCAGTGGTTCTGGCAGGCTGGAGGGAGACCCGTACTCCCTACGCCGTGCCCGCTGACCCTACAGGGAGGTAACACCCCTGATTCCCTGACAACTATGTACACCTCGGGGCTATAAATGAACAGACCTTAGAGCTTCAAGTATATGAAGTGATTTATATACAGGACACTTTGTAGGGTCAGTGATGGGGGGGG